GTATGTATATGCAAGCATGTGTGTGTGCACTCACACGTGTACAGCCTGTGTGCGCGAGTGCGTATGCAGGCGCATTTGAGCGTGGGGGTGCCTAAGCGTGCATGCGTGCGTGTGTCCGTAGGCGCATGTGCACACACATAGGGCTGGGAGATTATGCGCTCCTTGAGGACCAAGCATATGGCTGTCGGTTTTCATCTCCCCAGCCTCCAGCCCGGGGAACAGCACCAAACATCTTGCATAAATGAATAATAAAAAAAATACAATAGTCATTAGAATTCCTGGGCTGTCTGTGGGGATTTCTGACAGATCCGGCCGCTCTGTGAAGCCTCAGGTACAGCAACATCACAAGGGGAGACAGACACGGGGCCACTCTAGGACTGACACCTTCTACTCGACTCTCCAACCTGAGACCATGCTCTCCCCAGTGTGCAGACTGGCACACTGAGGCCCAGGGCGGGCCGCCCCTACCTAGCGTCAGGCGGTCACACGACGCTCTCCGGGGATTCTGAACGAACACCGGCCCCTCCCCGCGCTCAGCCTTTGATTATAAACAACACGGAAAACACAAGAATGATGGATCCCCATCCCAGGGGGCTGAAAAACGGGATTTACGAGGCCATTAATTACTTCCTCCTAATTAAATCAAAATTAAATGCGAGCAGAGGTACGTTTTCCTTATTAAAGACAATTAAACGGACAGTGGTACTACACAAATAAAATGAGTCCGGGATTTAAACAGAAAGCAAATCAAACCAAGAACCTCCCCAAAATGAGGGGGGTGCGGGGGGGGGGGTGTCGGCTCACGCCCGTGCTCCTCGTAAACTGGGAGTTCATCAATTTTCTTTAAATATTAGCAACTTAATTAAATCTGCTCTCCTCCCTGCTTTAAGCCTGCCGTATATCTAAAATAGATCTCACCGCCCACAGGAGCTGGCCATAAGTGCTGACCCCATAATTCTATCTTTTAAGAAAAAATTAAAAATCCTACAAAATCCACAGCAGCTGACAGCAGCCTCGGGGGAAATTACAGTTTGGAAAAGGGATTAGCCCAAGTACCCAGATTGTATGGAAATATCGGAGCTGGGCTGGAGGGGTGGGTGGGAGGGGGGTGGGTTGTGCTGGAAGGTGAGGAGCGGCCGTCTGGGGGAGGCCAGGCTGCCCAGGGTGCAGTGCCGACCACGGAGGGACACAACGGGTCTCTGAGTGCCAACTGGAGGCTGGTGGAGAGTGATGACGGAGGCGGTGGTAAAGGAAGTGACCGCTGGGCAAGGGTTCACTCGGCGACGACGGTGCCGTTGCTAAGCTACCTTTGGAATTCGACAAGGACGGATGCTCCCAGTGGCTCCCTGGGGCAGGGGACCGGGAAGCCATGAATTAACTGAAACCATGAAGTCTTTCCTAATGTCCAGAGAGAGAGCGTAGGGTGTGTGTGTATGGGGGGGGGGGGGTGTCTGCAAACGTGGGTCATGCATCTGCGTGCTGGGTACACACACGCACCCCTTACACACACACACACACACACACACACACACACACACACACACACACACACGGGCCTCCATGGGGAAGCAGACGAGCAGGTTTTCACAAGCCCAAACTTGGTTTGGAGAGCCAGCACAGGACCTGTGTCCCACCGGCTCGGGTTCAAACCCCCACACCACAGATGCCGCCCCACAAGACAAAAAGAGCCCAAACTCTCTCTTATGCCCCGGCTTTGGCTTGGAGAAATGAGGTCGCCCGTTTGCCCAGCAGAGCTCGGGGTGGGAGATAAGGGTGCCTGGGTGTGAGGATGGTGAAAACATCAGGCAGTGCCTAGAGGAATGGACGGGAATATTGGCCTAGCAGAAGCCAGGAGCCAGACGTCTTCCGGCTTCTTCACATCTGCTAACAGGGGAAGTGCCAGTTCCAGCCTGACTCAACAGGCAGAGGAACCGAGGCACAAAGCACCCGAGGTCAGAAGGAGAACCTGCTGCTTGCAATATCCAAGCACAGGCAGTTTGCTCCCCTGACAGGGCCCCGGGTGGGCGGGGGGGGGGGGGCAGAGACAGACAGAATGACAGAGAGATACAGATACAGAGAGACAGAGACAGAGACAGAGACAGAGACAGACAGAGAGTCAGAGACAGAGAGAGCCAGGGACCTGGGACGGGGAGACAGACCAGGGTGCTCAGAGGTCTCCGTGAAGACAAGAGAGATCCTTGGACTGGGACCCAGCTGGGAGCCCAGTGGGACCGAAGTGCAAGGACCCTGCCATCCCACAGGGCCAGCGCTGCCCCTGGGGCTATTACTGTCCCCACCCCCCACAGGGCGCCATGCCTCAGTTTCCTTAGAAATGAAGGGACATACTAGGGTCCTCCTGCTGCCGACAATGGCCCAAGAAGATGGCCATGGTCCATTTGGGGCGGGGTTGGACTCCAGCTGTTGGGATGCTCAGGGCTGGGCGGGCGCAGATGAAACGGAAGCATCTGGGTCTGGGCGGCCCCATGTGGGCCCTGAGGTGGTCCCAGAGGTGGTGCCCCGGGAGCGGACATCGGCTCTGTCCTCCCGTGCTGGTGTTCAGGGCTTTCCGGGAACCCAGCCTTCTCTCGGACCCGGAGGCCCAGAGAAGTCTGGGGAACCAGGCTGGGGCTGGCAGCTAGCCCACACGGGTTCGAATCCTGATCGAGCCGCCTTGCCTGCCCTCGCCTGCAGCCTTCGACGCCCATCGGCTCTTTGCAGCTGAGGGTCAAGGGTCTCTGATGGAGCCGAGGCAGAAGCAACCAACACCCCTGGCCCCCAGCACGTGCTGACGTTCTGCCCGCACTTGCTTTCCGGGGCTCACCGCAGCCAGGCGGAGTGGTACTCTTAGGCCCCATTTCCAAAAACTTGGGGCTCAGTGCTGAGGGTGCCACAGCATCGTTCCTGGTGGCCTGTGTGGGGGCCAAGGGGTCTGTCAAAGACATGCAGCTCAGGGGGGGAATCACGTGGTGCTGGGGGGATGGCCTGCGATGCCGGGGTCACCAGGGGTCTCTCACAGGCAAGGCCTGTGTTGCCCCCCACGCCAGCCTCCCAGTCATGATCTCTGCCACCCCCGCCCCCCGCCATGCCAGCCCCCAGCCCCTCCCGGCCTCGCTACCCAGGATGAGGACTCCGAGGCCTTGGGAAGGGAAGTAGCTAGCTGAAGGCCAGGCGGTGACTGGGGCGGGGGAACCAGGACTCGAACCTGCGTGCATCTGGCCCCAAAGCCTGTGTTCCGGGTGTCTCTGCCCTTCGCGACTGCCCAGCTGCACTGGTCATCCTGCACCCTCCCCATCTCCCCCCAACCCCCATCCATGCCCTCCCAGTGCCATGAATGAGAACGTGGAGCTTCGGCTCTGCCGTCAGCCTGCTGGGCGACCTGGAATATGAACAGGAACCTCTCTGAGCGCTAACCAGCACATGCTTGCTTAACCAGCTCCATGGATGCCTACAGTGGCCAGGAACCCAGGAGGAGTATATTGGGCCCAAGGAAATCCCAAAGGAAATGTGTTTTTTTTGGGGGGGGTGGGGCTGGGATTGGGAGGATCTCCATCCTCAGCAGTGCTCAGTGCTCTGTGCTCAGGAGTAACGCCTTGGCACGGCTGGGGTGACCATACGGGGTGCCGGGGATCAAATCCAGTGGGCTACACAGAAGGCCTTGGCCCTGGGCTCTCTCTCTCTGCGCCCAGAGGGTGGCCCCCGCTCTCTCCATCAACCGTGCTTATTCCCGATTCTCCCCAGCGCAGTTTGCTCTGACTTCCTGAAGTGCCCAGGGAGCTGCAGGGTTTGTCTCCTCCGTCTCTGTTCTCCAAGATCTCCTGGAAAGTCGGCAGGCTTCAGGAGAAGCAGAGTTCAGTGTCCTGCTCCCCCCACCTCCACCCGCCTCCTTTCGCACCACTGCCAACAGGTCTCTGAGCTCTCCAGCCTCCTCTTGCCTTAGGCCCTCTTCTCACCAGCCCCAGGAACTCCTACAGATACATCAAAACCCAGCTCAGAAGTTCCTTCTCCTACGGAGCTAGCCATCTATTCAGTGCCTTCACAGGGCCTGGCGCTGACATATGAAGCCTTTAAGCTCCGGGTCCCCAACCATTCTGGGGACCCCTGGAGAACAAAGACACACTCTCTCTCTCTCTCTCTCTCTCTCTCTCTCTCTCTCTCTCGCTCACTCGCTCTCGCTCTCTCTCTCCCCACCACCTGTCTGGAGCTACCTGGGCCCACAAGGAGCTCAGGGGGGCTGCCCGTCCCTAACCCCCCCATCCCTAACCCCCCGCAGGCGCAGAGCTGAGGCAAGATTGACAGCGCTTCCTCAGAGTCTGAGCCAGTGGCTTCATTCATTCCTTCACCCATCCGGTGACTCATTTAATGACTGAACAGCCTGTGAGCTGTGTCTGTGCCGGCACCCGGGAGTTCACGCCACGCCAAACAACCACGGCCTAATAGGAAAGACCTGGGCTGACGGCATAACAAACACACAGGGGATTAAATGCCGGGCGGGCCAGCCGAGCGGGGGTCAGGACACCCGTGGGAGGCTCGGGAGGGGCCTGTCCGGGTGTGGCCAAGGGCAGCTTCCCTCCCCCTCCGCCCCCCAGACTTGAGTGTGAGTCTAACGGACTCGGTAGAAGGACGGAGAAGAAAACGCCCTGGGGCTGGGGACGGAGGACTGCGCCAAGGGACCAGGGATGCTGTGGGGAGCGTGTTCCCGAGTGGGGGCTGACGGGAGCCAGATCTGGGCAGGAAATGGGATGGAACTCGGGGGAAACCACTGAGGAACGGACCGGGCTGCACGCTGGGCACCTCGGGCAAGGAGATGGATGAGGCTGGTCCCCAAACCCTCCTCCCTGGCGGGGCGGGGACCCCAGAAATGGCAGCGCAGAGCTGGTGCTTAGAAGCCCTGGAGAGGGGTGTGTGGGGGGAGGAGGCGCAGGGATGGGGATTGGGCGGCAGGGGCCACTCAGGTAGGTCCGCGGGGCCCCAAGCAGGCTGGCCCCGGGGTGCCACGTTACCTTGCCCACGTACAGCGGCTCTGTGCCCGTGTACTCCTCCACCACGAAGAACTGGTTCCACACCCAGCCCCGTTTCACGCGCCCGGGGCCCAGCGCGCCGCCGTCCTCCTGCTGCGCCCCGGACCCCGTCGGCGCGGGCGAGGGCGCGGGCGTCGCCGCTGCCCACAGGTGACCCAGCAGCAGCAGCAGCGCGGCCCGGAGCCCCCGGGGCCTCATGCTTGGCCTGCGCGGGGCCGGGGTCCAGGAGCACGGAGCGGGGGCGCCCGGGGGTGGCGGCTCACATGGTGGCCTCAGCGCGGCCGCCGCCGGCGCGCGGCCCCCGACGGGGCACCCGGACAGGCCCGCGGCCGCCTGGCGGGGCGCGCGGGGGCGCGCGGCTGCACGGGGAGGGGGCGCGGCCGCACCCGGGGCATGGGCGGCCCCCCGGGGTCCCCGCCCGCGCCCCCCGCGCGCCGCCGCCGCCGCCGCCGCCGCTCCTCGGTCACCTCTGCAGCTCCCGAGCCTCCCGGGCAGCGGGGGTCGGGCTGGTCCTCGGGGGTCGCGGGCAGTCCAGAGCAGGGGCCTGCGGGAGAGAAACGAGGGCCGTCAGAGCATCGGAGGGGGTCCTAGGGGCCGGGTGCGCCACCGAGTCCCCCCCCACTCCTCCCCTAGGTATTAACACCTCCCCCCCACCGCCCAGGGTGCTGGGCTGTGTGTCCTGGGGCGCAGGAGAGGACAGTGCCCACCCGCCATGGTCCTGCCTGTCCAGACCTCAATTTCCGGTTGCCCCTGGCCCTTACCCCAGGACCAGGCTGACCATTTCCTCTGCATCCTCTCCATCCTCTCCCTCTGGGGGCTGGGCCCTTCTCCGGCTCCTAGCTCACAAGCCCCCACGCCAGCAAGAGGCAGAGCCTTCTAGAAGGGTCTTCAAGCAGCTCCCAGCCTGGTCAGCCCAGGCCACAGAGGGGTCCGGCATAGGAAGGGCCCCAGGAGTCACCTGCCAGCCCCTCTTAGGGACGGGACACTCATGTCCCAGAGTGCTGGGCTAGGGGCCATCCCCCCCCCCCCAGCTTGCCTCCCTGTCCCTCCGTCCCCCTCCCCCGACTCCCCGCACCCCAAAACCCTCCCTCCCAGGAGCCCGGGAGCCAGTTCCTCCCCACACTGCCCCGACCAGCGCCGCCCAGATCAATCCATCTCTGCTTCCCTCCCTCCATCGGCTCCTGCTTTCAGCAAGAAAGAATCCGAGGGCCTAACTCCTACTCAAGCCATAATGATGAATAATGGTTTAATGTGGGTGTTTACAGGGGACGGCGATGCCGCCACTCCAACGGAGGAGTTCCAGGCACTGGCGAGAGAAGGGACCTGGGGGGGGGGGGCTGTGGCACTGCCCCCAGAGCAGTCCCCCTTCTCCCCCCCACCCGGCGGCCCTGTTGAGCCCCGCCCCCCACGGAGCCAGATGTGGGGTGGTCGGGAGGGCAGACTGCTGTCCACAGGGCACCGCAGACCCCAGCCACCAGCTCCATGGCCGGTGGCCACGGCTACAAGAGGGGGCGCACTAGCCCAGCCCCACAGGGCGTGGGGAGGCAGGGCGCCCAGGGGCCAAGGAGAGGGACCCAGGCTGCTCCCTGGAGGGGGAGGCCTCTGGGCGTATGGGCTGGAGAGGACGCAGGCCGGCAGGCTGGGGTAACCTGGCCAATGTTGGGAGTTGGGCCAGGCACAGGATGTCCGGGGTCTGCCCTGGCCCCAGATAGCTCCCCCTGCAGGCCGTGTAGGAGAAATGCAGAGTACCTCCTTTGAGGGCAGTGGAGGGAAACTCTTAGGCCTTTGGGGGGCTCCCAAGGGGGTGTTCAGGAGGCCTGGGAGCCACTGGGGATTCCCAGCCGGTTGAGCCCGCGGCTTGAGATGAGGCCCAGAGGGTCCGCTGCTGTGTGGGATTACTCAGACGCCCCCCTCCGGTGATGTGGGGGGTCCCCAGGGCTGCGCACGCAATGCAGGGGGCCCATGTGTTGGCGGGAGTCAAACCCGGGATGGCGCCGTGCCACCCCCTGCCACCCCACAGCTCCCCTTCACCACACATAGACACACACAGACACACACACACGGGCCGCAGCTGGGACTCAGGCAGTCATATGTGAGCGTCGGTTCTCCTGCCGTTTCTGGTCTCTGACTCCCAGTGCTCCTCCCCATTAGTGTGGCTCATTCGTTTGGTTTTGGGTTCCCCCACCTTCCCCCCTCGGCATGCTCAGGGGTTCCTCCTGGCTCTGCACTCAGGAATCCCTCCTGGCGGCGTTCAGGGGCTCGAACCCAGGTCATCTGCGCATTAAGCAAGCACCTTTCCCGCTGACCCCTCGCTCCGGCCCCAGAATCTCTTAACTTTCGGGAAGGGAGTGATGGGGTCGACGGGTGGGAGGGACAGTGAGTGGGGTTAAAACTGCGTTTCAGGGGGCTGGAGAGATATCACAGCAGGGAGGGCGTTTGCCTTGCACGCGGCCGACCCAGGTTCGATTCCCAGCATCCCATGTGGTCCCCTGAGCACCGCCAGGGGTAATTCCCGAGTTCAGAGCCAGGAGTAACCCCTGTGCATCGTCAGGTGTGACTCAAAAAGCAAAAAAAAAAAAAAAAGTGTTTCAGGGAAGCAGGAAGGAGTGGCTACCCCCAATCCCCGGGCAGAGCAGGGGGCAGCAGTGGCCACTTGGGCACCTGCCCCTCTTGCGGGAGCCAGGGCATGTGCCAGCACATCCTGCCCCCCCGCCCCCCACCGCCCCGTGGCCCCGCGCTGTCATCTGCCGGTGCTGCTGCTGCCTCTGGGGTCCGGCTTCGATTCCCCACATCACGGCCCGGCTGGTCGTAATGAGGCTGGAGTTATGGGTGAGGAGGAGGGAGCGTCGCGCCGAAGCCTTCATTTCCTGGAGCTTATGAATTCCCTGCAGCCGCGGCGGGGACCAATAGATGCCCCGGCAGTTCCAGGCACACCCACCCCCCCCATCCCCCCACCCCCTCCCTGCACAGTCTGGCAGGGATGCAGCGTGAGGGGCGGGAAGGGGGAGACTCCCGGGGTTCCCGGGATCCTCTGTGAGGGGCACAAGGGACCCGAGTGCTGCCTGCACGCAGCCAGCTGTTGCTCTCTCTCTCTCTCTCTCTCTCTCTCTCTCTCTCTCTCTCTCTCTCTCTTCTCTCTCTCTCTCTCTCTCTCCGACCTCTTCCTCCCCCTCTGTCTCTCTTCTAGTGCTCACTTGCTCGCCCCCTCGGACGGGATTGGGGAGGCTGCGGGGAGGCGATGGCCCACTCGGCAAACACGAGCCTTTACTACGTGGAGGCCGAGCGGCGCCCTTCATTCATTCAGTCAACACGCAGCCCCTGACAACCATGTCTAAGACAGCGAGATGTAATCAGCCGCGCGGGTCTACCTCAGGGGGAGCGAGATGCTTCTAGTTATTTACTCTCTCCGCCGATGTTGACCAGCGCCTCCCCGATGATGCCAGCCCGTGCGCCGAGCACTGGGGGGGGGGGCGGATGGGGGGACCGATAAACAAAATAAAGTCGGGGGGCCTGGCGGAGCTGCTGACCTTCTGGTAACAAAGGAATGAAATCGACGATGTAATTTCAGGGAGAGAGACCGGAAGGAGAAAGGCAGAGTCGGGCAGGAGCGAGGAGGAGGAAAGAGAAGGGCGAAGGTTGGCGGCGCCTGTTCCTGCGCGGGTCCGAGGGAGGGCGTCCCGGAGGAGGTGACATTTGGCAGATCGGGAAGGAGGAAGGGGGGGGGGGAACCAAGGCGGGAAGCAACCCGTGCAAAGGTCCAGAGGCCGGATCAGCGGAGGGAAGGCCAAGAGCCACCGCGGGTGACACAGAGCCGGTGGGTGGCGCAAAATTAAGTGAGAGTCGGGGAGGGCATGGTGACTGTGGCAGCGGCGGTGGAAGCCATTTCCGTTGGATTCTGCGTGTGCAGAAGAGGCGGGGGAGGTTTGAGCAGCCCCGGGAGATGCCGACAGCTCCGAAGCAATCCACCGCGTGCACCTTTCGGAGGGCCAAACCCGGCGGCCCGGAGGAGGGAGGCTTGAGGGTCAAGTGCAAGAAATGCTGCCATCAGCAGGAATTTGGGGGTGCTGGGGGAGAGAGAGCGTTCTCAGGTCCGAGGCCGAATCCCGCTAGAGCCAGGGTAAGGTGCTGGCCTGGCACGCTCTGGCTGGCCCCTGGTTCGGTCTCTGGCCACTGCATAGGGTCCCCCAAGCACCGCTGCCCCCCCCCCCGAACAGCACTGCAGCCATGGCTCAATTACTCCCAAACTGTCTTTAGACAGAGGTGGGTCCAAATATGTCTTTTTCTTTTCTTTTCTTTCTTTTTTTTTTTTTTGCTCTTTGGGTCTCACTTGGCGATGCACAGGGGTTCCTCCTGGCTCTGCACTCAGGAATGACTCCTGGCGGTGCTCAGGGGACCACATGGGATGCTGGGAATCGAACCCGGGTCTGCCGCATGCAAGGCAAACGCCCTACCCGCTGTGCTATCGCTCCAGCCCCCCAAATATGTTTTAAGCCACATGGAATACTCAGGGTCCAGAGAAGTGTGAAACCGGGCCTGGATCCTTCCCCCTGGCTGGCAGGCCCCGTGAGCAGAGGGACACACTCGGCAGGAAGGGCTGGCTGTGACCTGGGGTCCCTGCCTGTGTCTTGGGCCCAGTGTGCACTCCTATTCCGGTGCTCACAGCCCCTCCCCCTCTCGCCCTGCAGAGCCTTCAGGCCTCAGCCCGCCGGGTCCTCCCTGGGGACGTTGGCCCCGTGCCCAGGCTGCCCGCCAACCCTTTGCCGCTCTGCACAGCCCAGCCAGAGCCGCTGGGTGGACGGCGGCCTCCTTCCTCCCCTCCTTCCTCCCCGAGCTGTTCCAGACGCTTCTCCCGGGCAGGCGCCATCGACAGGGTCCAAGCTGCGTCCGAGCCCTCTAGACAGGTAGGCGTGGCCCTCAGCTCCGCAGGGACCCACCAAGGCACGTGCCTGGCTGGCCTCTGCCACCTACCACACACTCGTTTCATTTCAATAAGAAGCCGGGCCTCAGCCGGGTCGGTCCGTTCTCTAGCTTTACCTCCCATAAGCCTTGAACCCGTGCCTACTGTGCCCCCCACCACACACACAATGAATGCAATGAATGTGGGTGTGGCCCCTGAGCACAAGATGGTGTTTAGATCACGGGCATCAGCCTGGGTGCACCCATGCGTGTCTCCGGGGCACGTTTACTCCACTGGTCTC